CTTCACAGCCATTGGGGAAGTATTCCGACAAACTTGCGGTATCTCCATGGGCAATCAGATCAGCCCCATTCTGTCGACGTGTGCCATCGTCTCGACGGAGATCACTTGGCTCCGTCTCTACGGGCAACACCTCGCAAACGCCCATCTCGCTGACCAACTCTGGATACGGCTACTACAGCCGAAGGCACATGATCGAGAGCACGGTGTTCCCACAGTCATTGGCACAACAGCAGCTACAAGCGCTGGACGACCTCTACATCAGCCTTGGATTTCGAGACTTCGCCTAAGGCGTGCGGCAAAAGGCGACGTTCCGCAGGAGTAACATGTTTGAAAGTTCTACCCAAAAGCAGTGTGTTGACGGTGTTTTCCTTTTGTTCGTCTCGTGCCTTGGCCTCAGCATTCTGGTCCCTTCCCTAGTTCAAGTCTAAGCCATGCCACGTAAACGTATCGACAAGAAGCCACCAGATGGCGTTGAACTTACAGATGTGGACTCAGACTCGGACGTGGACCAGCAGCCGGTCCGACTCCCACATGGACTACCGCTGGATGACCCACCACCGTGCCTGCCTGTGAGCAGTCACTTGGAGGTTGAGCAGGTCTGTCAAAGGCATCTCAGCAATGGATATATTCCTATGTCTGTGTTTCCTTGGCTAGCGCAGAAGTTGCCGTCCGAGCTCCTCCGCGCATCCGCTCTCACAAGGCGCGGCGCGCCAAGCATGGTCTTCTCCTCCGGTGCCTACTATACCACGCCGGCTCAGTTGGGATCCGGAGCAACACCAGGAAATACCCCTGGACCTCGGCCCTCCTCGCTCATATGATTCGAGCCTGTACGCACACCAACTTTTCCACCGTTTCGCTGCTGCACAATGTGAACATGGCCGCACACGTGGACAAGTACAACCAACCAGGCTCTACCAATGTGCTCGTGCCGCTCTCACCCTTTCGTCGTGGAGAACTTTGACTCCTAGAAGAACATGGACCGGACCTATCACCCAGAGGACAACATCAAGGACGCAATCATCCCCTCCGCTTACCAGGGTTGGAGTTTGACCCCCTCACCAAGCACGCAACGTGCCCGTGGAAGGATGACAGACTGGTTTTATCTGCGTACACACCGCTTCGAACAAACCGACTTGAGCTATCCGACATCGATCACCTTGTGAGCCTTGGGTTTAATTTATAATTTATAATTCATAATTCGGCAGCTCTTTTCTTTTCTTTTCTTTTCTTTTCTTTTCCGTTCTTTCTGTATCTACAAAATGTACATCAACCCAGTCGCGACAACCGCACGTTGAAAAGCGGTGATAAGACACCAGTGCAGCGCCCACCAGACGTAACCGGTCGCCTCCTTGCTATGCCTCAAGTTGATAGAGAGCAACGTCATAGCCCCCAGAACTCCTCCACATGGACCTTTACAGATGGATGGAGCAGCGAGCTTCACGCCGTCGCCGAATCAAGGATCTCCCGCAAACACTACAACTGCAGCACCTCCCATTGAAGGATGTTCTATTGCAAGGCCAACAAGTTCATGTCTGGTCATGTCGGATAAGGCGCTCAGGACAATGCCATCGTCAGGACGCCTCGAATGACGACTACAATCACTCCATCAGAGTCAAGTCGATGGCCCTCGTCGACGCCCACAGCTTAGCGTGCGACATGGCCATCCAGCACACCGAGATCACAGCTTATTCGCTGCTGGAGGTGACGTTTGACCTCCGCATGCTCGTGGCCCTCGCGCAAACAAACAAAGCCGTGTGGCTTCGCTGCAGTCAGGTTCTGTCGTCTACAAGCACAGAGTGCAAGATCTTGTCGAATGCCCCCTGGCACAAGCGCGCTGGACGCGCCGTAGCCGGCAACGATGCAGAGACACCCATCGACATCAAGATGTACCTGTTCAATAAACGGATGCACACATGGTACCACCATGAGCTTTCCTACCAGCAGTACATGGACCTTGAGGTGCGTGAGCTTCTGCGCGTACCATAGATGACCTGCGTGCTCGAAAACAAGACGTGCACAGTCGAAGTCGAGCGCCGTCAAGTCAGTTGCTTTCTCTTTCCTTTTCTTTTCTTTTCCTGTTCCCGCCATAGCCATGTAACAAGCCCAATAGTATTAGAGAGCATGGATGCCGTGGCGCCCACAACTCCGCCTTCCGACTCCAGTTCGTTTGACTACTCCGATGACGGCGATCACGATGCTGCAGAACAGGTTTTAACCAATGCCACGTTGCTCAAAACTATTCTCAAATTTCACACGGAGCTCCGAGTCCGGATGGTAGCCGTCAGTGTGGAAGACACACCCATCGCGAGGCATGCAAATCAAGCAGTGCAAAGTGCCATGGACGCTATTGTGCAGCAGCATCCACAAGCCCACCACACGACCGTGATCCGCGACAATCGACCCCAACACACCCTCATCGAGAAGTTGGTTTCGCCCGACATCGTCTACAGCCTCTTGCTCACGAGCATCCAGGTGAGAGCTCGAGTGGCTACTATGGATCGACGTCTAACACATGGTCTTTTCTGCTCGCCCTCCAAGAGCGAGTCCTCTCAACGGTTGAGGCCGAGACTCTCTATGGAAAGCCCGTTCTGCCCGCTGCCGGTGAGAGACATGCTTTATCATGAAGAACTTCAACGATGGACATGTGTGCAGGTGTCTCAAGCAGACATCTTGTCCCTGAGGGTCGGCGAGTACCAGTAGACCTTCGAGCCAGGCATCAAGAAAAATGCCACCACCTTTGAACGCAGCTTTTGTTTTCTTGGTTTGCTAGTAAGACCGTAACCCACCGAGCGAAACTCGCGCAGCCACTCAGCTCTCATAACACAGCCAGCACGGACAACATGGACCGCGTCGGAGATGTCGACAGCACCGAATACCCCACATCATGGAGGTATTACTGGAGCAAAATCAACAATCAGTGGCAGCGAGTTTGGTTTCCCGTGACGAGAGCATGGCTGTTCGAACGAGAGCGAAAAGACCGTAACAGAGCCCTACAGCAGCAACAAGAGCTTCAACAATGCCAACAGCGACATGATGCTGAGGCAACTGCTACGCCAGAGACGGCAGCATCCAGTTCATCGTCTACTACGAGGAAGAGGAAGCGAAGCCGTACTCCATAGAGTGGATGAGCTACGCCACAATATGGATACATCTTGCCAATTAACATTTTGCTGTGCTTGCAAGCGCGCAGCCTCCAGATGACAGCCGAGACTCGCCTAGGCGATCCAGATTGCATGCTCAAAAGATTCCTCGCCGAGGTGTGTGTGTGTGTGTGGGGAACCC